CGAGCGAATAAAGCAAAGAAAGAGAGGGAGAAAAAACGAGAGGGAGGGGGGGGGGGGGGGGGGGGGGCGAAAGACGCATATTGAATGCTATTCTGATGTTCTGCAAATTGTGATGACAGGAGAGGTAAAGAAAACATAAACAAATTGAAGTTTTCTTTTTTTCATCTTTGATTCTTGTGTGTTACTTATACATCAATAATATTGGATGACTTCATCAATATGATGATCTTCGATGTTTTGATGTCTTGATCGGAAAATTGAAATTAACAAGAATATGTTTCACAGGAAGAAATATGAAAAAACGCTGTCAACATATGCATTATATTGAAAAAAAAAACGACCTCAATTCGATACCTTGTTCATCTGTTTTAATCTAGAAAACACCCATGTTTCTATTTTGCAATTCATTGATTTCAACCTCATGGAGCAAGCTGGTCTCCATGTCAGTCTAAACCCGTCATCGATCTGCGCACTTTCTTTCACGAAACAGATTTCAGATTAAAAATTCTATGGGTTCTTTGCACAAGGGCGGATAAGAAGGAGACTTACAGTCTGCATCGGAGCTTTCCAAGTCAAAAAAACAATTCGCCAGTATGCTAATTGATGTCGTACATCAACAAAGTTTGTTATAAAAAAATAGGGTGAGACGCGTGTCGATACGTTGAAAGCATTTCTAAGACTTTTCGCTTGTTATAAGTTGTATTATTGTTTCGATCGGTGGTGCCAAGCTGAAGAGTGCTACTTTTATTTTGTAATCAACACATTTTATGCGACAAAACAAATAGAAGATTGAATGAACGAAGCACAAAAGGATCGTTTGCTTAAGGTGATGAAGTCGGACTAAATAACTGTTTGATATGATAATAATAATATCTATCAATGGCACAAGTCAGATATTCTTTTTTTGTTTCCATCGCAATCTCTTATTAGCTGAATATCCAGATTGTGAAAACGGTAGTACTGTATGATACTACTGCCGATGATTTGAAGAGAGTATCAGACGACCTTCGATACTTGATGGTAATTATTTAACGTAATTGTCTCTGGTATAAGTGAAAAATCTTCGAGAGATGTCAAGCTAAATTATCACATCATCGACGTCTATTGAATGGTTTGTATGATAGTCTTTTTACTATCATATTACTCATCTACTATAATGTATTTACTCACTTAAAAATACGAACAGCTGAGGGCTGTTAATTATGAGCGGATGAACTAGATACGAATAGCACCATTATCTAACTTGTAGCAAAAGATGTACACTTGTGTACATCATTAGATGGTTAACAACTGGGTCAGAACTCAAGTACTTTTTTTGTACTGTGCTTTCGCGAGTTACGAAATGAACATGGACGATTGAATGAGAATTCAGTTGTGTAAATCTATCAAATCTCTTTCGTTTTTTACAAGAACTCACACTTTCTGACAGTTATACAGAACAGATTCTTTTCTTATATAATGTAGACAAATCGTAGAACACAAAAGGAAAAGAAGAGAGAAAATCAACATCTAACAACAATAGAATAATAAACATACGAATTGCAAGGAGAAGAAGAAAAAGAAGAAAGATTATTAAGACTAGAC